GGGGGCTGGTTGGGGAAGACAGTTCACCCTGATTAAATTGTGCAGTCCAGGTGTGTGACATGATTTATTTTCTCTGGAGGTGTTTTTCTCCTGGCTTCCTGCCGTTCCCAGAACTAAAGTGTTACTTTACTTGCTGACAGTGAATAAGTTATAGGTTTGATAACAGTCAATGTTATTATAATCCATTTTATTATTTTTCTTAACTGCTTAATGAAATTGTTCTAAATGGTGGCACAGCTACCTGAGCTCAGATCTCTGTTTTTTTTTCTGAAAGCTCTGAAAACTTGCCCATATTTAGTTATCATGATAAAGTGTATAACTCGTACTTATTTCTGTGTTCACTGCACAGTGCAAACATTTTACATATTTTTTGAATGGGCCAGATCTGCAGTGACAGGACAACCTTTCTGAAGAAGGACAGAAATAAATACTTCCAGAGGAGTATTGGTTTGCAACCTGAGCACTTCACAAAGCATTTAGAAATACTTGACATGGATGGATGACCATTTAAGTTGGTGTACTATCTGAACCTTCTCAGTAACAGCAGACAGATCCTAAGGACTGCAGACTCCCAGCTGTTGGGGGTAGGGACAAGCGACAGCTCAGAAGATGAGGCATCTAATTTTATTAGAGGACATAGAAATGCAGCTGCCTCACCAGAGTAGTCTTAAGAGTTTCTCCATCCCTGCTGCACCCTGACGTGATTGTAAGAATCTGCTTCAGCTTCTTGTGCTAGAGAATCCACATCACTGATAAAGCAGGCAAGTGGGATCAAGATTACAGGAGGAAGATTTTACAGGAGGGAATTTTTTCACAATGAGAACAATCAGCCATTGGAATAATCTCCCCAGGGAAGTGGTGGATTCCCCAACATTGGAGACTTTGAAGATTCAGCTGGTCAGGGTGCTGGGCCATCTTGCCTAGATGGTGCTTTTGTCTAGACAGAGCTTTTGCCAAGAAAGATTGGACCAGATGATCCTTGATGTCCCTTCCAACCTGGTATTCTATGATTGTATGATTAAGGAAGGCATTGGAGGTCACATGCACAACTTACACTTAGGATGAAAAGTTGACTGGGCAACATTTTTATTGGGAAATGGCAAAGTTCAGGGTGGATTGACAGGTTACTATGTATTTGAGACATTTCCCAACATAAACTATTTTAACTTTGATCTTGAGATTTACACATTGAACATAACTTTGTTCTTCCTTTACAACTAGGATGGGTGAAGTGCCCTTGAGGGAGCTTTGTTTTCAGACATCTAGCAAATACAGTAACATGCTTTGGGAAGGGAAATGACTGAAAAGATGCAATTGATTGTAACTGTCCTTGCAAACTATCACCCATCAGGCTCTAACATGTTTGCTAAGTAACGTGTCAGCTTCATGGGGGAAATGTAACGGTGTTGTTGAAAGACTATGTTAACATGGTTGCTTTCATTTTGATTCTCTTTAGTAGTGAGCCTCTGAGATGTAATTAAGTTGTTCAGGCTCAGCTAACGCAGCATGATGCTGGGAGACAGCTGTTAAGAGACACTTAGGACAGACATTTATGTGAAATTAAGGCAATCTAAGTATGGCCCAAAAGCATTTGGCCAAGTATCTAGCCTATTCAATAAGTCATTATCACAGCTCAGTCAGAGTGTGGTCACTCAACCCTGCTGTTTGGTTTCCAGTTTACTTGGTTTCCAGTTTGGTTTCCAGCTGACTTTGTAGTGTTTACACCTAAGACATAAGAGAAATTTCAAAGCACTGCCAGCTCTGCTCCTGCTTAGAGCTCTGCTCCCGTTTACCATGGCCTGCAGGCTCATATTCTTGGACAGCTATATAGAAATTACATATCTGGGAAATTGATACCCATTTAAATAATTTTGTACAAATGAGTTTCTGCATCTGTGGTCTGAGTTGGCAAGTGGACCTGAGTAATGACTGCTCCGAGTGACTGGTCTTCTGCCAGCCATTCACAAATACTCTGTTCATTGATCTGGGCCTACAGGTTAGACCATGCTTAGCAGCCTGC